CGCCTTTTCCAGGAAGGTGCCCTTATAAGGGCCCTATCAAGCCACAACTTTACGTCCCAAACGCCCCCGCCCGCCCGCCCACAAATGGACGACCGTTCCTGACGCTCGTATTCATTCATTTGCTAAGCAAATTATGAAGCGAAGGGGTATGAAGCGGCCGTGATGCTGCATGGATATATGAGTACACATATGCAGCCGTACCTTCGGTAGCGGTTATTGGCAAGATGCCTACGGGAAACTCGTCCGAAATCGATTTTCAAGTCACTGAGAACGGAGGCTTCTTCGCAGGATTTTGACCGTTTCACTCCGTTCTTTCGCCATTTCCCCACTATATAGCGCCCTACTAGCATTTTAGGCCGAGCACCAAATCATCGTGCCAACTGCCTTTAAGCTTCGCTAAAATTCTGAGAGAGGCGCCTTTGAGGGTCACATTATCGTGCCCAAATGGACATATTTACCCTTCACGGCTATACCCTATATCGTGCTCGCTGCCATTAAAGGCAAGTGGCGTGATGAATCCTCAAGACGTGTAGGATTAATACGCCTAGCAGGACGGACGGACCCCTCAGCAAGGACTGCGAGGCGCCTTCTTCAAGGAGGGTACACTTATAGTCCATGTATCCTATCAAGTTGCAGCATAACAATCGGACGACCCCCGCGCTCGCCCGCCCACGAATGTCCGACCACTGCTGGCGGTTCATTTCCAATGTACAATATAAAGGGAAGGGATTGATATGAAGCAGCCGCGGTGTTGCATGGATATATGAGTACATACATGCAGCCGTATCTACCGTAGCGGTTATTGGCACGATGCCAAGGGAAAACTCGTAGAGCCCTGCTGCCATTTTAGACCGAGTACGGGTTATCGTACCTTATGCCTTTAACATGTTGACTACCGCGGGATTCACAGTGCCATGCCTCGTGGAACCGCGTGATTCGTATATGAATCACGCTCATCGAACCCATTTCCTTCACGAATGCATTTTTGCGTGGTTTTATACATTCTGCAATTCTTTACTCATTATACGCGTAAAATACGTGGTACACAGAGCAAATCGACCTGCTGGAACTTAGCAAAGGTTTTTTGAACCACAGGTTCTATCGAAAAAATCTTCCGTATTACTCAGTAAAAATTCAGGTGGAAAACTAGCCTAATTATGGATAATTTCGGCTGTGAGGAAGGAATCAAGCTCAAGTTCTCACTGAAACTTCAAGAAAGAGCAAACAGTGCCAAGGAAGCCGTTATCTGATCATTCCCGCTTGTCGTGAGACCACTTTATTCGTATATGTAGTGAGACGGAGGTGTGTAGTGACTACTTACCACTCGCGCGGTCCTGGGTTCAAATCTTGGGTCGATTCTCGCCCAGGCCAACCACGCCTTCTACCCTCCGGAAACAGTAAATTGGTACCAGATTCGTCTGGGAGGATAAGAACACTGAATTGTGCTGTCCAATTTGTTCATCGGTTGGCCCCCACAAGTCATTGTATAGGCCACATCGCATTCAATAAGCCACTACGATCTCTGAATGGATGTAGTATGCGTGCCGCATTCCAATAAAAGTATCGATCAACAGCGAAGACTTCATCCTTTATTTTGTCGCTCCTGTCGCGTTCGAAAAAGAACAAAAGCAGTACCAAATGGCTGAAAAAGTCAGAAAGCACCCACGTTTAAAACACACTTTTTCAGGTGTCAATTCCATATAAGAGCTCTATCCAAGTGCAATGCACACCGTCGGTAAGCACGTCACAAACGCAGTATACTTGCTGTTGTGTGACGGACGAGGCTTCACAAACCGAAATTTGTATGAAAAATAAGAAGAATCAGGTGAGTAAATCGTACAAGAACAAGAAATTTAATTGGTTCGGTTTATCACTTAATTTCATTCTTCCTACGCATAAACTGGTTCTTTTTTCCAGAAAATGGGATCATAGCTCTCCATCAATGTTATTTTCATGTATAATATCATGCGTTAATACAGGAATGCGAAGCGTCTGTGAGAACCAGCGACGCTTGCGTGCAGCCTACGTTCTCCGTCACTGACAGGGCCCTGCAAACTGACTCAATAGAGACTGACAATGATGAATCCTCTGAGACACCGCTTTGGAGCGATTTCGATCGAGTACCGGTTTTGGAGTTCGACGTATCGCAGCAGACATCTCCTGTCGCCACTCAAGATGCCTGGTCCCATTTTGATTTGGTGGTCAACTCCGTGGCCATCCAGACGATTAGGGATCATACCAAGGAGATAGAGTGTGAGGCAAAGGTGGAAATGAGTGAATATGAAGTGCAAAGCCGTGGTCGACTTGCTCGAAGTGGCCGTAGGCCAAGCAGACAGTGAGAGCTGGATAAAGGTATTCCCAAGCACCTTCAAGCCGCCACGACGCACTGTTCTGTCGCTTCGCACAACACTTGCACGGCTTTTCTCTTCTTTTTTTAGTTATGCACCATCACAGCTTCACTGCAATTAGCTAACCTTTAAAAATTTTCTCAGAGTTTAGCTTTTCACCTAACCGAACTTTTATCTCACTACGAGCTTCTTGTATACTTGTATTAGGGCTGTCTGTTCACAAGCTTCAAGCCGACTTGAGCAATGCAGGCATTTCTATATATTATGGTTGGGATTTTAGTCGAGTCTGTACGATCCCCCTCCCTTTTTGGGGTTGGAACGACCCCCCCCCCCTCCTCCCTCCGGCCCTCTGTTCCTCCTCATCGATCCGAGCTGTGGAGCGGGGGCGGGGGGGGGAGGGGGAAGGGTAAATAGCACATGTGGCACATGTGAAAGTCGCGAGAGAATACGACCCCCCCCTCCCTCTACCAATTTTCAGATTTTCCCCAACTTCCTGCCACTTTTTCCAAAATTTCCCGAAAAGTTCCCTACTTTTCCCCAAAAATTTTGCTGTCGAGCGGGGAGGGGGGGGGGGGAGGGGGCATATAGTACGCATGAAACAGGAAAATCACCAAAAGTCAACCACCACTCCTACAACGCCAAAACGTAAATACGACCCCCTCTCTCCTGGCGCCAAATACGACCCCCCCTATTGGGGATTCCCCAACAACGATGTGCCCTGACAGACACTCCATATTACGGCTCCTGGAAAGGGTGTGTTCACGGACTTGGCTGTGAGCACGGCGGCACTGGACTGCTTAAGTCAGAGACGTAAACAATCTGTGCATAACATAGGGGGCCCAAACAAGGAAATGTTTGTGCACCATTCATCCCCTTCTTCCTCAGCAGGGAGGACAAGCAGCAAGCACATTCAGCACGCAGCCTTATCCGTTGACATGTCCTCTCTGGGCGCCGTGGTGCTGCCTATAAGTAAAAGATTGGTTACCTGGGATCTGCTTCGAAGCACTCTCGTCACTGGGTCGAAAAGAAGTGTGAAGAAGCTTTTCACTGGCGATAATACACGCCCTTTCTTCAGGTCTACCTAGCTGAACTGGACGAGGAAAGACGTCAGCGGCTGATGGATATCGGCATTCAAACAGGAGTTCTGGCAAGAGTGCAGCATATATTTGAAACTTTAGACACGGACATTCCTGTATGCTCAACAATTATATTGTGGAAACGATCAGAAGGTGCAAATTACATTTTCAGCCCGGATCCGAGGCGATACGACAAGGAAGTCGCCTCGACGACGTGGAAAGCAACGATGCCGTTGGTGAAAGGTTACTTTTTATCAAAGTCAAAGACTGTAGCTATTTTTCGTGATTGTTACGGTAGTCTTCTTGCAGTGGGTAAGTTCGTAGCTTAAGGATCGTTAATCACTCAGTATCCCACCGAACGCCATGTGTGTGTTATGACATGAATCGAAGGCACATTCCCTCTCATCGTAAGGGCAGAGGTAGCAACCTGCGCCACTTGAGCGCACTTCCTCTCTGCCGCCTTAAGAACAAACTTCGCATTCACCTTGGAGGACGGTCCGTGCCATGTGCGAGGTAAGTGGACTACGGCTGCAATCGCGTGCCACTTTTATCGCGCAAAGGTGCACGGAAACTGTGCTGGATGGTAGTGATACACAGTGAGGTGGAGTATGGGGTCGCACGTTCGCCGTGCAGCTTTGAGCGGATCAAGTTGACATGCACTAAAGTTGGGGACTCACCTAACACATGGCGACGCTCAGAATCCATGGAGGTGAGTGCCATCTTTGAAGTAGGCGAAGTAGTGAGAAAAGCGTACATGTTTTCTTTCTCTGCATTTCCGTATGTCGCGCGCCGCGAGCGTGCCTTCAGAGGCAGCTGCAAAAATGTTAAGTTAGAACGTTTACACGGCCTTGAAGAAAAGAATAAGTTGAAAGGGATAAAAAACCCGTTTTTTTTCTCTTCGGGAATACACGCACACTCGAAGAACAAGGAGGAGGAGAGGGCACTTTGTAAACTCTTGCAAAGCTACGAAATGTTGCGAGTTTTATTTCGAACTTCTTGCAATGATTGGTTAAGTTTCTGGAGCTCTTGGAAAGTGGGCTGAGGAAGGAGAAGTCTTTTGTGTCATTATTTCTACCCTTAGATATCTTGAACAATATGCTGCGCAAAAGAGATTCATTCTTTTTCAGCTCAACTACACTTTTACCGCGCCCCTCGTCAAGTGCTTCAGTGCCTCAATCACCAGTGGACCAACTTTCTGCCCCTCCACAACTGTTTAGGAACAAGTAAATCTTTTCTTAATTACTGAACATCTTCATACAAATGTGGCATCTAATGCGAGTAGCGCCCGCCCCCCTCCCCCACCGGCTAATGATCTAATGCGAGTAGCGGAATTGCAGAAAAAAACCCAATAAAGGATACCGCGAATAAATCTGTCGTCAGTAATGTTTTCACCCCACTTCCTTGCTTTAATTCTTCAAGCGAACTATCCCACAGTTGCTGTCACTCCCGCTACAAACTTGGCCAGCTTCCTCTTTTAACGACCCCTATCAGATCTGATCAGCTATTATCCTGTCACCCAGCAATAATGTTGTTTTACCCAGTAGATGTATCTTCTCAGAACCATTTTCACTTTGAATTCACCACTTTTCAAACCAAATTCACCACTTTTCAAACCAAATTCACCACTTTTCAAAGCAAATTCACCACTTTTCAAACCAAATTCACCACTCTTCTTAGACCAGGCAGTTCACCAACCAAATCACGCCAGACACCACCGCGAACCCTGCCCCGACGGTCACGCCTACTTGTCAGCGCGGACATAGATTTTCAACACATGACTGACTCCGCCCATTCTTTAAAGTTTGTTGCGAACTTCAAATCTTCATAACTTTTTCAATTTTTAATTTCACATCCACTCTTCGCACAACGAAGGTACTCGTAGACGCGCATTCATGCACCGGCAATTTAGGCTCCGCCCCTTTGGCCACGCCCACTTGCTTTTTGCGGAATTATGATATTTTTTCAAAATTTTTGCATTTTTGGACTGCTCCATGAAGCCCCGCCCACTGTGAGAGGCTCCGCCCACTTTGGAGAAGCCCCGCCCACTTTTCAAAAATGGTGCAATCGGCAGTATAGAGCCATGGCTTGCATGGCAAGGGTATTGCTGGTCATTAGGAACAAACTTTGCCTGATTTATTTGTTCCGAGTGACGGACGAGACCCTAGCATGCAAGCCAAGGCTCTATACTGCCGATTTGCACCATTTTTGAAAAGTGGGCGGGGCTTCACGGGGCAGTCCAAAAATGCAAAAATTTTGAAAAAAATATCATAATTCCGCAAAAGCAAGTGGGCGTGGCCAAAGGGGCGGAGCCTAAATTGCCGGTGCATGAATGCGCGTCTACGAGTACCTTCGTTGTGCGAAGAGTGGATGTGAAATTAAAAATTGAAAAAGTTATGAAGATTTGAAGTTCGCAACAAACTTTAAAGAATGGGCGGAGTCAGTCATGTGTTGAAAATCTATGTCCGCGCTGACAAGTAGGCGTGACCGTCGGGGCAGGGTTCGCGGTGGTGTCTGGCGTGATTTGGTTGGTGAACTGCCTGGTCTAAAAAGAGTGGTGAATTTGGTTTGAAAAGTGGTGAATTTGGTTTGAAAAGTGGTGAATTTGGTTTGAAAAGTGGTGAATTTAAAGTGAAAATGGTATATACGAC